GTTTTCTTTAAGATGTGGCTGTCTTCATAGTTGATATGTGGTAATTATTCAGTCTGTAGCATTAAGCAGGCACACAAAATGGTTCTGCTACACAGGGATGACATTATTTAAAGATAAAAATAAGAACAAAAACATCTAAGCTAATATTAAGGAGAAGTGATGGCAAATACTATAAGTTGGTCCCGGTTGGCTGTATCACAGAAAGGTTCAAACTCTGCTCCAACCACTAAGAAGATAATAACTACAACCCCAAACCACAAGAGAAATTCAAGTCCTAATCCCATAACTTCCCTGCTCTCTAAAATACAGCCACCTGTAATGACTTGAAATAAGATATTACATAAACCATTCATCTAAGATGATCGCCCAAGAAACCCATTCCCACAACCTGAATGGTCACTAAAGACTTTCCACACCTGTGAATTGATGAAATATAAAAAGAAAAGCAAACCATGCATGAAATTCACATCAAACTCACGTTCTGCTTGGTTTTCCTCAATCAAGCACCTAAATCTCTCTGGCTAGGTCAGTGAATGTGGGGAGAACAGCACTATTAAGCCATGTTTTGCCCAATTAACTCGCCAGAGTCACACAACATTTTGGTTAACATCTTGATGTTAGTCTGGTCTCTAATAACCACAGGCCTAGCATGTCCATGTTTATCACATCTTCAGTGAAGACACAATAAATATTCTTACTATACATGTGGATGACACAGTCACAGGATAGAAAGTTCGTATGATAAACACCAAAGACAAGTTTCCAAATAATCTTAAAAGAAACATAGCTGTCCCCTGGTATCCACAGGGGGTTGGTTCCAGGACCCCTGAGGATACCAAAATCTGCAGATGTTCAAGACCCCTATATAAAATGGCATCGTATTTGCATACAACCTATGCACTTCCTCCCAAATATTTTATTTTTTTCGAATCCGAGTCTCACTCTGCTGCCCAGCTGGAGGGCAGTGGCACACTCGTGGCCACCACAGCCTCGGCCTGCTGGGCTCAGAGATCCTTTTGCCTCAGCCTTCCAAATAGCCAGAACTACAGGTGTGCACCACCACACCCAGCTAATTTTTTTATTTATTGTAGAGACGAGGTCTCACCAAGTTGCCCGGGCTGGTCTTGAACCCGTGAGCTCAAGCAATCCTCTCACCCCGGCCTCCCAAAGTGCTGGGATTATAGGCATGAGCCACTGTGCCTGGCCTTTTAATGCATTTAAGATGAATAACATAGCTGGTGGGGCTGAGGGATACTGGGACTCATAATCTGGCAAATGTGGTAGAATGTAGATGGCCAAAAACTCTGTCAACTTTCCCATCAAAAAGTGGAGTCTGGCCAGGCTCGGTGGCTCAGCCTGTAATCTCAGCACTTTGGGAGGCCGAGGTGAGTGGACTGCCTGAGCCCACGGGTTCAAGACCCGCCCGTGCAGCTTGGTGAGACCTCGTCTCTACAATAAATCAAAAATGAGCTGGACGTGGTAGCGTGCACCTGTAGTTCTGACTACTTGGGAGGCTGAGGCGGAAGAATTGCTGGAACCCAGCAGGTCGAGGCTGCGGGCCACTGCACTCCAGGCTGGGTGACAGAGTGAGACTCCAACTCAAAAAAAAGTGGACTCTATGGCCCTTCCCCTTGAATTGGGGTGGCCTCTGTGACTACCTGCCCAAGACAATACTGGGTTCGTTGGGGGTCCAAACCTTAAAGACAGCAGATTCTATATCCTGTCCCTTGGAAACTCAAGCATGGAGAGCAGAGCCCCTAGCCAGCAGTTCCAGCTCAATCCCCAGGTGGCAACCAGTGCTAACTGGCCAGCCAGGTGGATGAGCCTTCATACTCATGGATCCTCGAGCAACAGCTGAGCCACCCCAGGTGATTCCAGTGGCCGAGATAAGCCATCACCTTTGAGACCTGCCTAAATAGCAGACTCACAAGGAAAAAAGTGAGTGTTATTGTTTTGTCTCTTTCATCCTGGGGTGGTATATTTCACAGCTATGGATAAGTAGCACCGAAAGCATTAATAGGCGAGAGGTCCTGAGTCATGAGAGTAAAAAAATGACTCATTTGCACTCCTGGCTGACCAGACTATACAAACTATAGTGTCCAGTTGTGGTTGTCACCATCTAGAAACTATGATGGGTCAGATGCAAAGAGATCAGAACAGTGAGAAGTCTGAATACATCACACAAGGAAAAGTGACAGAACTGAGAATGGGGCACCTGGAAATGCAAAGATGTGCTAAGGAGGTGGAGAGAATAGTTTATGTAAGTAAAAGACTGCTTTGTAAAAATATCAGAAGGGTTTCATCCTGAGAGCCGTGGATGAGAGGCTGCAGAGCGGCAAAGTTTATCATGGTTAAGGAAGAACATTCTAACAGCCTTTCAGAAATGAAATGGATGGATGGCCCTGGGAATCAAGGGAGATCTTCTGCTAGAATATCTCTACTGAAGTTACTCTCTGCCCTCACCAATCTTCAACTGTGCAAGAATTCCCACTCATTACTGAGGAGACAAGTCCCGTGTGCAACTCTGAATATTCCGGCAATGCCGACAGGAATTGCTCATGTTCATGGACAGCGATATTCGTCTAAAATTCAAGAAACCTCTGATTCTTCCATTAGCATTCCTCTCCTGGGATGTATGTTTTTCCATGTTCTTTAATTGACCTGCCATTGGAGCATAATCTGCCCCTACGTGTGGTCCTGTCCTTTCTAAAATGAGCCAAAGTGTAAATGTGGTGTTAACAAGTGGAAATCAAGCGCAAAATACCAGGAAGACCTCTGGGCATGAGGCCAAAACAAAAAAACCTAAGCATTGTTTCACACTTCATGATGAATAAAATCCACTGCAGCTTTTTTAAAAAGCGGAGGAAGAGGAGGAGGAGGGGAAAAAAGGAAGAAGCTCTCAACCTGTGACTAAGGGAAACAACACAGCAGTTTCAAGGAGCACAGACTTGTCAACTTTTCGCCTGATGGAGCCATAAGCACCACACTATATGACCTTAGGCAACTGATTTAATGTCTGTGCACTTCGTTTTCCTCATCTGTAAAATGGGAATAACAAGACCAATCAACATGGCTGCTGCTGAAGATTTTTTTTTAAGTAATGATAAAACAAACAAACAAAACCAGGTTTGCCGTAGGTACTAGACCTGGCACAGAAGACATTTTAAAAAGAATCCAGTTCATTTCTTCTCTACAAGACAGGAAAATGATGACAGAATATACTAGCATAGCCAATTTCCCTTCCTCTCCTAGGACTGTGAGCTTCAAAGCAGGGACCATCTCTTACTTACTGATCTAAACCCAGCACTTAACACGGTGCCGATCACGTGCTTGTTGAACTAATTATTTCTAACATCTCTTTCTAGCGCAAGCATTCTGGGGATCTGTGATTTCAGATCTGGGGCAGAATTAGATGTAAGTAACAATATACGTACTATATATGTTTGGCCACGAACTACTGACACTTCTACAAGTGAAAAATGATCACATCTATAATGAAATGAGGTAATTAAGGGGGTTTTTTGTTGGTTTTTTTCCTTGCTTTTTGGCTTTTTGAGATACACTTGCTGGAATGGGAAGGCAATTAGTTTTTGAATGCCTTCCTCACCTGCTAAAAATATCTGCTCCATGAGAGCAAATATAACATTTTGTTCCCATCCTATCCCCAGAGCCTGGCAAGAGCTTTGCAACAAATGTAAACATTTGTTGAATGAATGAATGAAATGAATGAATGAATATAAAATCTTTGCAAGTCTGAGGAAGGCAGAATTTCCTAATTTTAGAAATCCTTCCTAATTAAATTCAAAGTTGCTGCGTTTAGGTATGACAAAATGTTTAAAAATAAAAACAGCAGATGTTTGATCTCTGGGTGGTGGAGAAAATTTCTTTTTCCATCCTTGATTTATTTTACGCTGCAGGAAGTCAACCAAAATACTGGCACTCAAAAAGCTCATATAATATGTCAGCCTAAGTCAAACATATTCTGCATCGACAAAGATGACTGTTACCAGTTGGTGTTTAAAAGTATTTTGACTACCAATCTCTGAACATATCAACTTTTAAAAATCACTTTAGCTAATGTGATTTTAAGATCAAGGAATGAGATCAGTAACCAAATGATATGAATCGGTTCACTAAAATAATATGACTTTTATTTAACAAAGACAAATCGAGACCATACGGAGGTTATGGTGGGAATCGGAAATTAACCTTTCTTTTTACAGAATGCTCAAAATTCATTCACTGATAATTCAGCAAGGTTACAGTTCTAGCCTCCAGTGAATTCCAATGGGAAAAAGTGGGACACGATGACTAAGGACAGATGTTGAGACCTCAGGGTCTGCGTCACATAAAAACACAGCACTCGTTCTGATGCCCAGTTTTAAAGAGTGGTCACGCAAAGGTCACTTTTGGGTAGCTTGCATTTACTGGAATCTGCTACAAAGAGCCCACTGAAGCCAAAAGAGCAAGGTCAGAGGTGAGGGTCTCTGATGACCAACACACGCAATTTCAGAGGACAAGCCACTTTACTGATCCTTCAGGTTTTAATTACCCGAACCAAACCAAACCAAAACCCTGCAATGAAGCCAGCAGAGGACACGCGACAAGCACAGTAAACACAAAGTGAACCGTATCATCCTGTCATTGTTCTGCGGGGGGAGCCTCGGCCACCCGGACACACACCTTGCAGCAGCCATCAACCAGCCATGGCATCCCGGGGACGGCAGCAGCAAGACTCAGGATTTTCTCCCATTTCAGCTCTCGGCTTAGGAAGTTTAAAGGGAAAGAATGGGGCGGAGGGTGGGGAGAAGCCCCAGCAAGCTTGACACCAAAGCCCTTGATGAAGACAATGTCATCTAACAAAAACTGCAGGGCTCCAGTGAAATCTCACTCTGGTTTTAAAAATGTACATAGCTCTGCTTAAATCAAATCCTCACAGATTGAAAGAGAACGTTTCAGTCATACCCCCAGGAACTGCTAAATAAATACAACATACTCACAGATTTAGAGCAGCTGTAACTTTGGAGGAATGAATGTACTCCCACTATGAAGATATCTTTCCCTCTCTTCTACCAGATTTTTTTTTAAGCCAACAAAAAGAAGAGACAATCCTCAATTTAAAAGCCAACAAAAATCCTCAATTTCTGTTTTACTCCTTGGGCTCCAGAGAGACTCTCAATTATCAGGCACAACCAAAGTAGTTGTCGAGGCAGCTGACAGCATCCCAGAGCTTCCCAGGGCAGAATTTAAGACATGTCAGTTAAAGTGGCAGCTACACTCTGCTGTAGCCGATGCTTCTGCAGGAAGGGATGCCGGGAGATTTTTTCCCTCAATCTCTGCCGCAGCCTAATTCTAATCCATCACTGTTTAATTATCCTAGAGAAACAGGCAAGGAGAATACAAATGGCCTGGATTTATAAAAGACTACAGGATCTTTTCATGATTTTTCACCTTATCCAAGGATTCTTGCCCTACCTAAAAAGAGCCAACCGAAGAATAAAATGAATCATCCTTTTGTTTTAAGGAAAATGTAGGCACTGGCTGTCATTCCCAGGCTAGATTTCTATATCCCACAGACTTTTTAAAAACACTATATAGGAGAAAAATCAACTTCTCCTAAAGTTCTTAGACCAATAAGCAAAAGCTAATAAGTAAAGGGAATTAAGCACACACAGAATGTGACAGTCACACCAATACAGTTGGAAAACGACACTTCTAAATTAATATTTGAAGTGATAATTGATACAATGGGATTAATATATACATAAGTAATTGAAGAAAATTAACATTCGATAAGCCATATTTGAAGTGGTTTTGAAGAAACTAAAAAAAGTAGACATATATTAATAAAACACCAGTTCAAAGATTCTAAGATAGAACATAATTCTGAAGTTCAGCTGCACTTTTTTGGTTCACATGAAAGCTCTCCTGGGGAATGAAGTGGTCAGTGGCAACACACTTTTTGGTCCTGCCTCAAGGGCTCTTGGCTAGAATGAAAATGTTTTTATTATGGGGCTCACTGTTCTTATTATAAAAGTAATGCCAGGTAATATATGCTGGTATCTCCAGATTATGAAATCATTAACGTCTTCTTGGAAAAAAACTGAAAAGCAAAGAAAAAAAATTAAAACCAGCCATCACAATCTCACAACCCAGAGACAGCCACTGTTAATATTTTGCAATAATCTACTTCTAGTCATCTTCTTCCATATATACATGGAAGAGAAAATCTGATGACTAAACGTATTCTTTTCCTTGCCACGAATGCTTTACATTATCCTTTTCACACAGAATTATGTTCTGATTCTTTTTCAAAAACTGTGACCTTTTGTTAACTGTATCAGCACCATATTTCTCAAGTGCTCAAAAGAGTTAGCATATGCAATGACAGTCAGTCAGTGTATATCTGTGGGCCTACTGTGTGCTGGACACAGAAGATACAGTAAGTAACGTGCAGAGCAAACATGGTCCCTGTCCCCCTGGAGCTCAGTCCAGTTGGGAAGCCAGAAATTCACCAAATGACAGCAAATAACAAGGGCACTGTACTACAAAAGAGAAATGCAGACTCTTCAGAAACATGGAAGAGACCTGGTCTTGTGAAAGTGAGGGTTTCTCAAGGAAGGAAAAGAAAACCAATGACAAGCCCAACTGCAAAATGATTAGTACGATGTATTTCACACCTTCATTTTTCCATCAATATAAATATCTCTCACCTTGTATTTATTCTTCTTTCCTATATCAAAAGAAAGAAATTTTAAGGCTACCTTCTAACTATGTTCTTGTGAATAGTGTATGATATGTAAGAGTAATTATCTAACGTGTATAGCTCTTATGCATTTAATCAACTACAACACAACCTTTAAGAAATTACAAAAGGTAGGCCACTCCCATAATTTGAGATATCCCTTAAATGGTCAGTTACCTTGGGTTTCTAGGCAATCTCTGGCTTAATATTAACTGAATCATGCTCAGAATCTCACAAAGGCTGAAGACTACACTGCGAATGTTGGAAGAGATATGGCAACTTGACATGAATTTCTTACATAACCACCTTGATGCAATCTAAGAGGGAACAAAACATCCAAATAATGTACGTAGATACTCCGCCCTAAAGGAAGGCAAGCACAACTCCTTGGACTAAAAAAGTGTGGGTTGCACATAGTGATTTTCTTCCAAGGACTGCTATATGGAAAGGGGTTAGGGGGCAAGGAGTGGGTGGCAGGGAAACAGTGACTTTACAGTGGAAAAACCCAATGAACAATAATACCCTAGGCAGGCAATCAAGGGCAACAGCAACAGTGATAGAGCATGTGGATAGTATGTATTGATAGGATATGATGAAAATGGCACTTTATGCGGGTTCAAGACCCGCCCGGGCAACTTGGTGAGACCTCATCTCTACAATAAATCAAAAAAAAAAATCAGCCGGGTGTGTATCGCGCACCTGTAGTTCCAGCTACTTGGAAGACTGAGGCGGAAGGATCACCAGAGCCCAGCAGGTCAAGGCTGTGGTGGCCAGGAGCGGCCACTGCACTCCAGCCTGAGCGGCAGAGTGAGATTCCAACTCAAAAAAAAAAAAAAGAAAGAAAGAAAATGGCACTTTACCTCTCTGGTCTTCCTCCCAAAAACCCATACATGACCCCAGACTAACCATGAGAAAAACACCAGACAAATTCCAGCAGGAGGCACCCTGCAAAATACATAAACAGGGCCAGGCTCGGTGGCTCAGCCTGTAATCCCAGCACTTTGGGAGGCCCAGGCGAGTGGATTGCCTGAGCCTGAGGGTTTGAGACCAGCCCAGGCAACTTGGTGAGACCTCATCTCTACAATAAATCCAAAAAATTGCCCGGGCATTGTAGTGCACACCTGTAGTTCCAGCTACTTGGAAGGCTGAAGTGGATGGATCGCCAGAGCCCAGGAAGTCAACACTGGGGTGGCCGTGATCGTGCCACTGCACTCCAGCCTGAGCAACAGAGTGAGACTCCAACTCAAAATAAATAAATAAATAAATAAAAACAAAATACATAAACAGGACTCCTAAAAAATCTGCCAAGGTGTCAAAAACAAGGAAAGTCTTAGAACTGTCAGAGCCAAGAGGAACCTAAGGAGACCTGACACCCAAATGTCCAATGGTATTCTAAATGAAATCCTGGAACAGAAGCAGATTAAGTAAAAACTAAGAAAATCTGAGCAAAGTTTTTAGACTTTAGTTAGTGATATGTACCAGCATCGGTCTACTAATTGCAACAGATGCGCCCTAGTAATAATGTAAGATGTTAATAATAGGAGAAACTAGGTATAGGGAATATGGGAACTCTGTATTCTCTTTCCAACTTTTCTGTAAATCTAAAACTGTTGTTCAAAAATTAAGTCTACTAAAAAAAGTATCTTTCCCAAAGTGAAAGCACCTTTGCTCTTTCTAATCATTAACAAAACATATTCCATAAAAATTATGACAAAACAAAAAGGTTATAAAAGGGACTTTTTGAAAATGACAAATACCCTGGAATTCCACCCACTGAAATAACCAATCCCAAACATACCGTATGTGTGTTCTTGGAGTAGCTTCATGGACCACACACAGATACACACGCACTAAGTGATCCAGATCCGAATCCCTAGAACCCGTGAATGATGCCTTACATGACAGGAGAGACCTTACAGATGTTAAGGGTCTTGAAATGTACAGACTATCTCAGATTGGGCAAGTGAGCCCCAAAGGCAATCACAAATGTCCTTGCAAAGGGAGGGAGACCGATATTCTAAGCAAGACAAAAGGTGCTGACTCCATGGAAGCAGATGGTGATTTGAAGATGCTGCACTGCTGGCTTTGAAGGTGTGGGAGGAGCCACGAGCCAAGAGATGCCAGGCATGCAGAGCTAGCCAGAAGACAGATTCTCCCATAGAGCACTCAGGGAGCACGGCCCCGGGATACCACGGTTTTCACCTAGTGAAATCCATTTCAGAATTCTGATCTCCAGAACTCTACAAGGATAAACTTGTGTTGCAAAAAGCCATCAAGCTTGTGGTAATTTGTTACAGCAGCCATACTAGGTAGTGGTCTTTTTTACCTGTATTTCTTTTTTTGAGTTAGAGTCTCACTCTGTCACCCAGGTTGGAGTGCAGGGGCATGCTCACAGCCACCGCCGCAGCCTCGACCTGCTGGGTTCAGGAGATCCCTCCAAGTAGCTGTAACCACAGGTGCACACCACCACACCTGGCTAATTTTTTTAGTTTATTTTTTTATTGTAGAGATGAGGTCTCACCAAGTTGCCTAGGCCGGTCTTGAACCCCTGGGCTCAGGCAATCCTCTCACCTCCACCTCCCAAAGTGCTAGGATTAGAGGCACGAGCCACTGCACCCGGCGACCTATATTTCTTATTTTCAATTGTCTGCTTATGTCCCTTTGCCAATTTTTCCATCAAGGTGTTCTCTTTCTTGACCTATTTTTAGTGTTAACCCTCTTTTATACATTTTCAAGAGTTTTCCTGGTTAATTCTCTTCCATATTAGCTGATAAGGATTTTGTCATGATGACCAAAACTATCATTCTTTTCTCTGTTGGTGTCATTCTTAAAACACACTTTCCTGGCCGGGCTCAGTGGCTCAGCCTGTAATCCCAGCGCTTTGGGAGGCCGAGGTGAGTGGATTGCCTGAGCCCACGGGTTCAGGACTTGCCTGGGCAACTTGGCAAGACCTCATCTCCACAATAAATCAAAAATCAGCTGGGTGTGGTAGCGCATGCCTGTAGTTCCAGCTACTTGCAAGGCTGAGGCAGAGGGATCACTGAAGTCCAGCAGGTCAAGGCTGCGGTGGCCGGGAGCGGCCAATGCACTCCAGTCTGGGCGACAGAGTGAGACTCCAACTCAAAAAAAAAACACACTTTCCTAACCAAAGAAAATAGGACTGCTTACCTTAATTTGCTCTTAATACTTAAATAGTCAAATCTATAACTTTGTTCTTTTACCATCTCCACACCTGTCTCTCTCTTCCCTTCACCCTCAGCCCCCGGCCTGGCATCAACACTGCAACTTGGCTGGAGAGCAAACAAGACTGGAGACTTCTTGAGGCTCCCAACCACACCCACACCCCCTTTGTCCAGTCTGCTCCCAAACTAGCTTAATGCCTGATGTAGAAAGTGTGCTCAGTACATGTTTGTTAAATCCGGAGGGTCTCATAAAACTAACATTTTTTTCTAAAGAGGAAGAAGAAAATCGCGCAAAGCAGGCCTGCTCTCCTTTTCCCTGGTCTGGTGGGGTAGGTGTCAGAAATGGAGAAACG